AAATGAGAGCATTTTCCCCCCTGTAACTGGATGTTCTGAGGTGGTTCCACTAAAAGTCTGGAATCTGATTTTTGGCCATGTGGCATCATTGACCATGGTTACGAGGGTTCCTTCAGCTCCCCGGGATAGGGAAGAAGAGGTGGCCTTCCTGACCCTAGTTAGTCGATCAGTAGTATTTATTAAGGGCTTATGTGCCAGGTACTGTGCTAAGAAAGGTGAAAGACAGCCTCTGTCCTCGAGGAGCTTGCATTCTAATGGGGGGGAGAAAACCTACGTACAGATAAGATGCATACAGAATAAATTAGAGGTAATCAATAGAGGGAAGATACCAGATTAAGGGGGTACAGGAAAGGCTTTTCATACCTAGTTCTCTAGTTGGTATTTGAAGAAAGCCAAGGAATCCGGAAGGTAGCGATGAGGAGGGGGAGCATTCCAGGCATGGGGTACTGCCAGAGAAAATGCCCGGAGCCTGGAGATGGAGTGTCTTGTGAGAGAAACAGCCAGAAGGCCAGTTTCAGCATCACTGGTGAGAAGTAAGGTGTAAGAGCACCAGCGTACTTGGTGAGGAGTAAGGTATACGAGTGGAAAGCTGGGAAGGAGCCAGGTTATGAGCAGCTTTCAATGCCAAACAGAGGAATTTATTTTTGATCTTGGAGGTGGTAGGGAGCCACTGTAGTTTGCTGATTGGAAGATTACACGAGCTAGTCCTTGACCCAAACAATTCTGAACTCTGCTGTTCTGCCACTGTGACCACCAGGCAGGTCACAGAAGAGATTGAAAGCCATCTTAGCAGACATTGGCCCTAGAGATGCTATTGAGGCAAGTCTATATCTAGTCAGGGGTCTCACAGCCAATTAGTCTTAGATGAGGGTCTCAAACCCAGGTCTCCATGACTCTGAGGTCCAATTGACAAAGAGCTTGTTTCCAAGGGATGTTTTAAAGTTGACAGATGAGTAAGTCCAGGCTTCCCTTAAACTGTTTTAGAAGCTTCTTTAGGGTCGACCAATGTCCTGTGATCCACACAAAGACAATTGATTATTAATATAAGTATCAAACTATTAAATAATCATATAATTATTATGAGTAAATTATTAATATAATTAATTATTCATTCTTAGAATCCAGGGATTTAGAGAGCTTTCAGTTGGACGTTTTACCAGAAGTAGGCATTCTTGCTATATCTTCATTCTTCCTGTCACTCCTTTATAGTGTGGGAGGTCCGAGTTCAATTAGATTTAAGGACTAGAGTCTGAGATGCTTCTCCTGGCCTCTCAGTCAGAATCAGGAATTGGGAACCCAGGATCTCTTTATGACCTTGGACCAATTTCTTAACTTTTACAAATTCTAGTTTCCGGCTCAATACAGAGAGCTTACCCCCTTCTTCACAAAGTGAATGTGAGTGCACATGGAAGTAACAACTTAGCACTCTTCGATTGAAAAGTAAGGGTTCACACTGCCCCTGGAGTCAGGAGAACCTGAGTTCAAATCCAGCCTCAGACACTTGACACCTACTAGCTGTGAGACCCTGGGCAAATCACTTAACTCCATTGCCTAGCTCCTCTCCCCCCTCAAAAAAAGTAAGAGTTCACATTAGAACTGTCCTATATGAATGACTCATAATAATAATAACTACCGTTTGTGTAATGCTTTGAGGTTTATAAAGCGTTGTACATATGTTTATTGCAGTTTATTACTGCATTTGAGGAGACAGAAATATCCTACAAGATTAACTATCATTATGGTGCGGTACAGAAAATAATTCTTTTTGGAGATCATAGTTTACTGGGAAAAGCTCTGGATCTGGAGTCAGAGGACCTGAGTTTGAGTCTCGGCATCTCCTATTTAACACGACTCTGTAATATGAAGACTTTTTGATCTTTGAGGTTCTGTTTAGTTCCAAATCTCTGATCCCTAAAGGCAAGTAGTGATCCATCTTGTAGACCCTCTAGTAATGAGAACTCACTGTCTTCTAAGGAGCTCATTCATTCCTCTTTTAGATAGCCCTAATTGTTAGGAAGTTCTTCCATATATGGAATAGAAATCTGCCTTTTGTGTGACTTCCCACTGGCCTCCTGTCCCCAAGGGCCAAGCAAAATAATTCAGATCCTTCTTTCATGTGGGAGCCCTTCAGGTATTTGAAGACTAGTTACCATATTTTCCCTTAATCTTCTCATCTCCAGTTTAAACATCTTCAGCTCCTTTATCCTGTCCTTATATAAAATATAATTTCTAGCCTCCTTACCATCCTGGTCATCTGACTTTGGACATTTCAGCTTGCCGGTATGCCCTTCTGAAATGTGGCATTTAAAGCTGGGTACGTTATTACAAGAGTGGTTTGACTACCAGGTAATAACCCCCTCATTCTGGAGATATATATATATATTTTTTTTTTTTGGTTTAGCCCTGACAGGTAATTTTATCATTATGGGTCACTGCTGATTTGGAAAGGCCTTTCCCTCAACCTATACAAACAGGTAACATATCTGCATTTTAGAGAGTTTTCTGAGACATTGAGAGGTTAAGCTGCTTGCTCGGTCATATTGCTAGTATGTTTTAGTGGCAGAACTTGAGCACAGGTCTTCCATACTCAAAGACTGGTCTTTTATCCACTATTCCTTGTCTCATTCTGGATGCTATACACATCACTGACCTTATAGTCCATGGAGGCCTCCAGATTTGAGCGCTTCAGTGGAGCTGCTCATGAGGTGCCTGACCCTTTCGCCAACTGAGTGAAAAACAGATTAGTCTATATTTCTCCAAAGGAAATTCTTGGGTCTCAGTTGTATGTAAAATTAGGGCTTAAGGCAGGAAACTTAGTAATGGTTATATTTCTTTCTACACTTACTCTAGGATTTCTTACCTATAGTCTAGCATCTTCTCCATCTATCCAATAGAATTGCCTTTCTATAGGTCATTTTCCTCCAATAGTTGCCTTGGAAGATTATGTTCACTACTTGCTAATTAAACTAGGCCTACAGGGTCTGGGCTTTCCTCTATGAGGATTTCTATCTGCATATTTAGGTCAGAGCAAACTTGTTGCATTCTGGGCCACCTAGCCTCATGTTTTAGTTGAGAGGCTGTACCATCTTATGTTGACCATCCAGGTCATAAGGAGTTTGGTATGGAAAGGTAAGATAGATGTCTGATAGAACTTGCTGGGTTCCTTTCCTGAGCAGGGAGTAAAATGGTGGTTATGAATCCAGAAGGCCAGGATCAAATCTCAGTAGTTCAGTAAAATTGCTTCAGAGACTGCATTCGAAGCTTCTAGGGGCTGAAAAGAGCCTGGGAGCTCTTTATAAGCCAAGGGCAGTCAGTCAATCAGTTAACTGATAAATATTTATTAAGCACCTGCTATGTGCCAGGCATTGTGCTAAGCTCTGGGGAGACAAAAAAAAAAAGAAGCAAAAGACAGTTTCTGTCCTCAAGGAGCTTAGAATCTAATAGAATAGAATACACACAAACAATTCTATACAAAGCAAGATGGATGGTGGAAATGAGCCATGGCTGAGACATAGCTGGGCATAATTGGTGATGTGAGAAAGGGGATAGGTATTCAAGAGAAGAGGACAGTGTAGAGTTGAATTGGTTCACCAAGGAGTTTTAGCCTGTCTCTTCATCCTTGACCTAATCACTTCTAGTTAAAGGTCCCTTCTTAATGTCAGTTTTCTAGGGCCACCTCTTTTAGAGCAGAAGAAGGAACCTTGAGGCAAATCTAGATGTTGCTGGCTGCCTGGCCTAGCCTTTCCAACTCCTCCTTATCATAGGAGTATCCCAGAGCCCAGTGCCACTTGGCCACAGGGACCCACACAGGAAGAAGCCATTGTTGGTTTTTGAGTAGAGAAATGACAGTCTAGAAATATTACCTGAGTTCCAACTTTGTGTCCAGTTCTAAGATGAAAGTAGCTTGTCAGGAGGTTTAATGTAGCTATGTAATAAAGAGGAATTAATGGGGGGAAATGGTAGAAAGAGCAAAGACTAGTAAGGTCCCTACTGCCTTCATTCAAACTTGACAGTGATGAAAACCTGGATAGTATTGATGGCAACCTGTGGTAAGGGAAAAAGCAAAGGACAAATTAATTCAAGAGATCCTTTAAAGAAAATAATCTATAAGACTTGAAGACTAATTGGATACAGGGAGGACAGAGGAAGGAGTCTCTGACCTTGCCCACAATGCTTCGTCATTTGGTAGAAGGGGTCCGTGGTCGGGTCCAGGTTGTATTAGGTGGCCTTCCAACTCAGAGATTCTACAATTTCTTCACTTGTGCAGCTGGCTTTAAAGAAATTTTTATCGCTATTTTTTGTTTTTATGTCACCTTTTATGTCATTTAATGTATCCCTATCCCTTTTTCTACCCTGAGAGCCAAAAGTTATGTCCAAGAATAAAGTCAAAGAGGAAAAAAAGGCAGTTTAGGAAAACTAATCAATATATCAACCAAGTGGTACAGTATATATTGTGTTCTACCTCCATAGTTCTACACCTCTCTTTGGAAGGGAAGGAGGTATGCCCTCACATCCCTTCTTCAGGACCGACCTTAGGCATTAGTATTAAATAGGCTTCAGTTTTTATTTCTGTTACCATCTTGACAAAAAAGGAAATGAAATTAGTTCGGAATGACTTGTGTTTGATGAACTTGTGCTGACTTTTGTTATAACTGTTCTTCAAGTAGTCACACCAGTCATTCCTTTGATAATACATTCTGTAATTTTATGAATTAATTCAGCAAATATTTATTGGACACCTGCTATGTTCAAAGTATTGTACTCAGGAGGCGTTATGATAGAAGGAGTGGAGTACTAGGCTAGGAGTAAAGAGACTTTTATTCCAGTTCTGGTTTTATCACTTACTAGCAGTGTGACCTCATCTATAGAATCCAGAAGGTTGGACCAGATCTCGAATAAAGGTGTTTTCTAGCTGTCTGACATTCTGTAATTTTGTGTTTATTGGGTAACATAACAATCGCACTTAAAGATTGCTTCAAATTTCATGGGTTTATTTATAGGTGAGGGCAGTCTGTGGTATTCCCTGCACCGTGAAGAGCATCCAGTTATTCTGTGTAAGTAAATTTTCACTGTGTTCCTAAATACATTACAGAAACTAAAACACTCTTTTCTGTTACAGCCAGGAGTAGTAATAATAATAATAATGACAGTTATGTAGCATCTACTATGGACCAGCCACTATGCTATGTACTTTACAATTATTATCTCATTTAATCTCACAACAACCCCGGGAGGTAGGTGCTATTATTATCCCCATTATACAGATGAGAGAACTGAGGTAGATAGAGGTCAAGTGATTTGCCTTCCTGATTCAAGACCCAGGAATTTATTGACTGGGTTACCTAGCTGCCTTAAGAGTGTTAGACAACCCTTACTGGATCTTTTGAGCTCTGAGTGCCCTGCTAAGGAACCTGTCCTCTTTGTATCTTTGAAGGAAGGTGCTTACACATCAGTAACCTCAACCCTTATACATTCTCAGTGGCCTGCATTTTTCACTGTGGCTTGTTGAGGTACTGTTTGAATACACTGTGTGTGTGTGTGTGTGTGTGTGTGTGTGTGTGTGTGTGTGTGTGTTTGAATGTGTTTTTCCCAAAGCATTCTGAAAGCCCTCAAGCATTATGTCTCCCAAGCTGAGAGGCATTAGAGCTCAGAGATGGGGAAAACAGACGGTGGGTGACTAAAATCAACATGCCTGGGATGAGCAGCCCTGCTTAGCCATTTGTCACCTGGGCAATCACCTTGTGCATACAGCCACAGAAGAGAGAAGCATTACATTAGGTCAGTGAAGGGCTTGGAAGAGGCCAGCAGGTGAAGAGTGCTCAGTCGGAGTCAAATTAGAGCCTTCCTGTAAAACTGTATGACTAGCCCACAATGAACAGAATAAGGTGGTTATTGATGAATCAGATGATTTTGGGGGGGATATCTAGACTTGTGATTTCACTGGTATGAACGATTCCGGATGAGAAAATGGCCTCCACCAAATCAGGTAGCAGGTGGCTGGTAGCAACAGCAACTTGGAGTCTTGTTTGCTTGGGGATTTTGGGGGGTGGGGATTAAGTGACTTGCCAAGGACTGCCTACTACATGTCAGAGGAGTGATTTATACCTTGGGCTTCCTGGTTCTGAAGCCAGGTCTCTGACTATTAGACCTAGCTTCCTCTCAAAGTCATTTTACCTGTGATGGAAGGAAACCTATGCTATGTGATTAGACCATCATGTCAGAAGCAGTATCTTAGAGACAGCTGGGTGGTGCAGTGGATAGAGCCTGGGACTTGGAGTTAGAAAGACCTGAGTTTGAATCTTGTCTGTGTAAACTTGGTCAAGTCAGTTAATCAGTCCTTAGCCTCAGTACCATGTGTTTCTATATTGTATAATGATTAACTTTTTTTATAGTACTTCAAGGTTTCCCCAAACAACCCCCAAGGCAGGTACTGCAAGTATTATCCCCATTTCACAGAGGAAGAAACTGAGACTCCAAGGTTAATGACTTGTCCATGGTTGTAGGGCTAGCTAGGAATTGGCTGAAATGGAATTTGAATGTGGCTTTCCTGCCTCCAGGCCTCATGTGTTTGCTGCTGTGACACAATGCCTCACTGCTTGATGATCTCTAGGATAGCATTATAATGAAATGTTTAATCTTAGTGCTCTCCCTCTGAGATTACCCCCAATTTATCTTGCATTTCTTTTGTTGTCATCTCCCCCATTGGGCTGTGAGCTTCTTGAGAATGGAGACTTTAAAAAAAACTATCTTATTTTCCCATCCCTTAACATATACTGGTTGACTACAGCATGCTTTTTAAATTTAAATTTTTATATGGGAAGGCTAAATATTATAAAATAAAATACTCTAAACTTAGGGTTTTTAACTTTTTTTGTCATGGATCTCCTTTCTGGCACTCACTCTGGTGAACCCTGTGAGTCCTTCTCAGAATAATATTTTTAAATGAATAAAATAAAGTATAAAATTACAAAGGAAACCCAATTATATTCAAATACAGTTATCAAAACATTAAAAAAAGGTTCACATGTTAAGAACCCTTGGATTAAAGGGGTAACGTTCACAATCAGTTCTTTTCTCTCTCCCTTTCTATTGTGCCTCATCACAGAATTGGACAGGACCTCAGAGGCCATGTAATCAACCTCATAAATGAACAGGAATCCCCTTTATGAGATTCTCTATCCTTCCCCCTCTCCCTCCTCCTCCTTTTCTTTTTTTCCTTCCTCCCTCTCTTTATTGTATCCCATGGAGTGCAGCAAATCTCTGAACTACTTTGGATTGGAAAATTTCGACAAGCATTTGACTGACATGCAGGTTGGTCTGCTTCTGTCACGAGATCATAAATTTGGAGTTGGGAGGTCTTTAAATCCTAGAGATAAACTAGTACAACCTCCCCCCCCCCCCATTTTACAATTGAAGAAATGGAAACACAAAAAGAATAGATTTAACAACCTTTTTTTTTATGGTCTAAGCTAATAATGATGATGATGATGGTGATAATAGTATATATGTAGTATATTAAGGATTGCAAAGCACTGTATATATGTCATCTCATTTGATCCTCACAACAACTTTGGGAGGCTATTAGCCCTGTTTTACAGTTGAGGAAACTGAGGCAAACAAAAGTTAAGTGACCTGCCCAGAATCACACGGCTAGTTAGTATCTAAAGTAGAATTGGAACTCAGGTCTTCTTGACTTAAATTTAGAGCTCTTCACCTCTATTTCACTTAGCTTCCTAAGGAATATAAAGAATCAAATACAAGATATTCAAATTACCTACGATTTATAAATTATGATCTTTCTTCTATCCCAACTTGCATTAGCATTTTCTATCACATTTGATCCTGGAGGTGATAGAGCCACTGGAATTTATTGTGTAGGGAGTAGGGAAGTGACATGATCAGATTTATGTTTTAGGAAGAGCTCTGTGAGAGCTGAGTGGAGGATGAACTGGAGTGGGAGAGCCTTGTGGCAAGCAGAGCCACCAGCAGGCTGTCACTGCATGTGATGAAGTGATGAAAGCCTGCACCAGCATGGTTGCAGCATCGGAGGAGATAAGGGGGCATCTTTGAGAGATGTTATGAAAGTGAAATCCACAGGAATGCCCTCAGAACAAATTGGCTGTAGGGAGTAAGAGAGAGTGAGGAGTTGAGGATGACAACTCTGTTTCAAGCCTGGGTGACTGGGAAGATGGTGGTTCCCCTCAATAGTAATAGGGAAGTTAGGAAGAGGGGAGGGTTTGGGAGGAAAGATGATGAGGTCAGTTTTGGGCGTGTTGGATTTAATGTGTTTCTGGGATGTCTACTTTGAAGCATCCAAAGGAAGTTGGAATTGTGAGACTGGAGGTCAACATGGGGAAAAGGAGAGGAATTAAGCATTTATATAGCACCTGCTTACTATGTGCCGAATGCTGGGTGTGCTTAGCACTTTTTACAAATATCTTATTTGATCCTCACAACAATCTTGCTGTTGTTATCCCCATTTTATGGTTGATGAAACAGATTAAGTAACTTCCCCAAGGTCATACAACTACTGACTGTCTGATGCTGGATTTGAACCCTAGTCTTCCTGATTCTAGGCTCAGCACTCTCTCCATTGCGCCACCTTGCTGCCTTTTGAGAAGAGATTGAAGAGAAGTATGAGAGTAGGGATGATAGCCGGTTCAGTCTTCTGGAGAAGATGCCCAAAGGGCTACAAAAATGTGCATACCCTTTGATCCAGCAATAGCACTTCTAGGGCTATATCCCAAAGAGATCAAACAAATGGGAAAAGGACCCACATGCACAAAATATTCACAAAAATATGGGATCACGAGGGATTTGTCTTGTCCTGGAGAAGGGCTGCCTCCTTATGGGAGATAAGGGTAAAGGAGGAGATAATAGGCAAGGCATCTGGGTGATATGAGATGAGGAGGAGGAGGGGAGAAGTACCTCTGAGTTCTTGAAGGCCGTACCATTGAAAGGCAAATTCTGGGAGAGCTGGCCTCTCTGGAAATACTTTTGAGTGAAGTTCTGACAACAAAGTATATGTCCATTCATTCAAAGGGCATTTAAAAAAAATAACTCAGTGATCCTTAAAAAAAACCAAAAAACAAACTTGATTCTCAAGTATATCCTTCCCTCTCCCTTACTTGTGACACTAAGTAATAAAGGAGGGAGGAAAAGAAATTTAGCAAAACTAACAAAAAAACACCAACCAACCTCATTTTTTGATATATTCTTTATACCCATCATCTCTTACCTCTGCAAGGAAGGGAGGAAGGTACATTTTTTCACCTTTTTTTTAAAACTTCTGGTTCTCTTATTATTAGTGGTTTGGCACAATCTTTTATATGCTTGTTAATAATTTGCAAATGTTCTTTTGAGAATTATTCATAATATTTGACTACTTACCCATTGAGGAATAGCTCTTGGTTTTATATATTTGAATTAGTTGGCTGTATTTCTTGACTGTCTGGACATTATAAAAGATATTAATGCTAAGGGTTTTTTTCCCTCTGGTCATAAAAGTTCATTTCTAATTCTAGCTACATGAATTTTGTTTCTGCAAAAGTATTTTGGTTTCATATAACTGAAATTTCTGTATCCTTTTGTGATCTTTTCTATTTTGTGTTTGGTTTAGAACTGCTTCTGGGTTATAACTGTGAAATCTTATTCTCTTGTAATTTTTTTATGTTGTGACTTTTAATATGCAAGTCCCTTATCCAATTGGAGTCTGATGTGGTATATAATGTAAGTTGGTGATCTAAACCCAATTTCAGCCCAAAGTTCTCATTTTCCCTGCACTTTTTCCCAAATTGGGTTCAGTAAGTATTCGTTTAAGTACTGACCAAATGTCAGGCACTGTGCTGGGCACTTAGGATACAAAGACAGAAATGAAAAACTGTCTTCAGTGAGTTGACAATGAGGGGGCTGGGATGAGGACAGTACAATTCTACTGGGGGAAGAGAACATACAAAAAAAAATCTTTTTTTTATATTTCTTTTTTTTTTTATTAATTTGTTTTGATTTATCAACAATCACTTCCATATGCTTTTGAGTTGAAAATTTTTTCCCC